TTCAATCATAAGATATCATTTCTTAAATATTTTAAATGTTTAAGTTGCTGCTACATGAATTTTCTTACTCATTATCAGTTTATGTATAAATGAATTTAAATCTTCATTGTTTTTTTTATTTTAATCAGTTAACAATTATGCGGTATGAACTTTCATAAAATATTACGATTTTTTAAGATTATTTGATTATAATGATTTAAATTTATTTCTGAGTCTTAGAGGTTAGAATTGTCATATTGGAAAACATTCTTTTAGTTTATACAGCTAAAAAAAATGTATAGTATTAAATAAATTAAATAGTTTTAGAGTAAATCAATAAGAGAATAAAAATAGAATATTAACAGAAAGTATTATTAAAATAAATCAATTCTGTTTTTATATGTATATATATGTGTGTTTAGATTACATCATTAATTATTTTTTATAAATTTTTAACGTCTATTTAAATGAAATGTGTATTTATGGAAATAAATGTTTAAATAATTAAATTACATGTACAAGATAAAGTTATAAGACTCAAGATATATATATAGAATCGCGTTCACAAGGTTTTATAAAGATTCTAAATACTTAATATCGATTAAATTTTTTTTTTTATAAAATAAGTTTTTATTAGTGGTTTATGCAATACACTCTGTAAGAATTTATTAAATTATTTTATAAATAATAAACTAATTGCCTATATAGAAAAAAATCGATAAAACACTAAATTTACTGTCAAATAAATCCATCTGAAATGATCCAATGTCATAGTTAATCTATGGTAACATAAATTTTAAAAATATCTCTTAAATTGTCTATTAGTTAAAATTTACCTTAATGTAGCAATATCCATGAATCGTCTCCTATATCACACAAACACTATAAAACACAGATTTCAAAATGAACTTTGGGTAATATAACTGTTGTTCTACTTGGGTTGGTCAAGATCTCAAAATCACACTGTAAGAGATATTTCAAGAATAGCAATACAACGATTCGGTCACGTTCGTGTGCTTTCGGACATATTCGGCCATCCATACTGTGATCATCAGATTTTCTACTCAACTGTTTAAGTAATGCAACACCTCTATAGGTGCGTTGAGAAATTACACTTAAATAAGGTAATTGCTAAATCAAACCTTTTTTTTTTATTTCTCTTTTTACCGAACAGCAGATAAAAAACATCAAAAACACTATCATAGGTAAATAACGATTTAGATATTTGTTTTTCCCATAGTTTGGGAAATGTCTAAAAGCACTTCAAATCACTACCAAACGTTTTGTCAAAAATAAGCAAAATGATCACATTTTGGGCAATTATTTAAAAAAATTAACACTGTTGAAATATTTAAAATTAATAAAAGAACTAGAATAATGTTAACCGAACCGAGGCCAGCACAAGACTGACTGAAATTATATCAGAGACAGGCCATATTGAAGTGTGTAAACATTGGTATAGGTAATTTGATTTCCGGGCTGCTGGCTGTGAGGATATTAAGTTAAGGGAAGGGATTGGCATATTCTCGTTTTCTTATTTCAAATTATTGAATGTTTGTTTAGTTAGACAGTTTTTTATTTTGCTAATTATTAATTCTCTGAAGTAGTTCTAAATATAACTTAAAAAATAAAATAAACAAATATATCTATATATTAATTATTCGGTACGAACAATAAAAAAAAATTAGAATATTATCCGATCGAAAAATACACATAAATCACGTTTATAACATAAAAACTTTCAATACGTTTATAAAAATTCGAAAACAATACAGTAATTAAGGTTAATATAATTTTCCCCATAGCTTAAAACTGTTTTATCTGTATTTTGAAAGTACAAACACTTACAACTCCTATTCTTAATTAACAGTTTTTACCATCTCTACATTTTTTTTTCTTATTCTCTATTTTATTTTTAAACTATTACAATATAAGCACATGCACTAGCGGATCCAGGATTTCATTTTGGAGGCAGGGAACTTCAGCCCGAATGGTTTTTTTTTTTTTCATACATATAACGATAACTACTCAAAAAAAAAAAAAGAAAGATACAATCTTTTTGAAGTCTTATTAAATGTAATTACACGAACAATAATACTTTAAGAGATATTTGTTTACCATAAAACATGGTTACGTTTTACCATGTTGGGGGGGGGGGGCTTCAGCCAGAAAGCCTCTCTCTCCCTCCCCCCCCGTAGATCCGCCTGTAAGCACATGCAATATATACATATACATCTAGTTACTTGTATGTATTTTATGTAATTATATTATCGCTAAATGTTAGATATTCTTTCTACTGATTGATTTATACTAAAATACTGAAGTTTTTAAAATTTCTTTCAACTGAAAGTAGTGAAGTAAATTAATGATTTGTGAAAAATCACACCAGTTCTCTTTAGTTAACATTTACCTGTAGATGAAATATCTGTATCAAGCCACTACCTGTACTCTTACCAACAGCAGACCCGCTAATTGTCATTACTTATAAATAAATAAAGGTTTTTTTTTTTATTTCTTAAAGACATTTACAACTGTATTAAATAAATACATCTAGTAAATTTGAAAAATGTATATAATGATATGAAAAACACTTGTTGAGTAACTACCCAATGGTAGCACTCTAATGATATGTCTACATTAGGAGATCACGGGGCCATCTTCTTCTCAGACGCATCGGAGGGTTATCAGGAATTGAAGAGGAAGCAAGCTTAGAAACGAGAGGGTTGGGATCGATTCTGAAGTTTATTATGGAAGATAGGTATCTGGATTGGGCCAGATCTGAAAAAATAAAGTTAAAAAAAAATGTTTCACTCTACTTATGGAAAACTCTGTATATTATTATATTTAAATATAAATGACAATTTAAATAAAAGTAATATTTAGACATCAATAAAATCGTTACATAACTACTACTGGGCTCTAGTTTATCTAGTCGACTTTTTTAATTGATCTAAGTTCACACATTTTATTCATTCATTTAGCTTATTTATTGTTGATTTTAATTTCTTTTAACTCAAATTATTGGTAAGAGGGAGGTGGTGAAATGATATTCTTTCCCTCACAAAATTTTGTTGAATGAGGGAGGCGATCGCCCCCCTCCCCTCCACCCCCGTATTCTACGCCTATGAATGTTGTTAGGATCTTTTCAAACAAAAGCCACGATAAGAGACTGTGAAAAACATTAAACTAATTGTTTTAAATAATATGTTCTACAGTGTATAATTTTTACTTCTATTTCCCTTCGTCTGAAAATACCTTTTTTCGCTAGAATAAATGTAATAAGTTAAACTTGTATGATGGACATAAGCTAACTTAAATGCTAGTTTTCGTAGAAAACGAAAAGTTAAAGTTTTTCGCTCAAAACAGTCTCAATTTCTTGATTACTGCATTAACGAAATGATGCCACCTATATACATGTGAATCACTAGCGATCAAAGGCCTTAAAACTAAACGAAATTGTACAAACCATAACTACAAGTACAAATTAGAACTAGAAAAAAAAAAACATTTGTGGAGTTTTTCTTTATTTTTTCAGTAAAAAAATACATAACTTTATATGTAAAAGTTAATATTAATTAATATGGCTTAATATTAATTAATATGGCTGTGGCGTGGGATGTCGAAGATATATATATTTTCATCGACATTTATATTAATACTAGCTGATGAACCCGTAGTTGACGGGTATATAGTTAAAATTTGAGAATATTTTTTTGAGATGGATTTTGTATTATTGGGGAGTGAGGAGGGGGGGAGGGTGTCGAAATTCAATTTTATAAAATTGGGTCAGGAGAGAGGAGGGGAGTTGTTTTCGAATTTTTTAATGGCGGGGCTTATGGAAGTCAAGGTTTCGCAATAGTCATAACAAAAACTTGTTGTTCGTATTTTTTTAGGTATCACAAAACTAAACCGACCACCACCGATCCATTGAAATTAGTGTAATTTCATAAAAGTGTTTAATTTTCAGTTATGATGAAGCGAGGAGATTGTGGAGTCGATTGAAATAATCAAAAAGAGTTGTAGTCTATCCACTTCTTTAAACTCTGCTGAGGTTATCGCTGGCAAAATAATCAAAATAACATTGGACATTGAGTCACCTACACCCGTGTAAAATTAGAACTTGATCAGAATATTGTGGTGGGCGTGGTGAATTTTCGGCTAATCCGTTAATCCTAAAAATGTATATGACAACATTTGTGAGGCTCGGGAATTTGAATCGAATGACACCTTGAACGGGAAGACCGGACAAAGTTGAAAAATGAGTGTGTTTTATCCGTTTTATGCGACAACGCGTTACAGATGTTCGGTATTCCAGATTTTTCCCGTTGAGTTGTGATAATTTTTCCATCAGTTGAGTAGTACAACTTTTAAATGTGTCTCGCGATAGAGTAGGTTGGTATGAGAATCGAGAAGTAAGTAACTGCCTAACCGGGATCTCTAGACAAATTACTCAAGAATTCATAACTTTGGTTCTACTCAATATTTTGTTTTCATTTAAAGCCTATGTTTTAAGTCAAGCAAACCTTAATATAATGTCAAATTTTCAAAAGTGTACAATAAGCCATTGCTGAGCTTACCCTGACAAAATTTCGTTTCAATCCGGACATACAGACAGACAAAAAACTTTTTAAAAGTGGATTTGGTGTCTGCAATGTATGAAACGGAAATATATCATAAAACGGGTTGATTCTATTCAATGTACAGACAAAATCTTTATTTTATTTATATAGATATCGCAATATCGAAATGCAGTTAGGACCTTTTCAAACCAAGGCCAAGATTAGCGAGCTGTGAAAAATATTAAATTAGTTGTTCTAAATAATATGTTCTACAATCTGTAATTTTTATTTTCATTTCCCTTCGTCTGAAAATACCTTTTTTCGCTAAAAGAAGTGTGTTATGTGAAGGTTGTATGATGCGCACACCGCATCAGAACTCCTTATACCTAACTAAAGTGTTCTTAAGATTTATGTTATCCTCACTTCTTCTTCTTGTTCTTCATCTTCTTCTTCCTTCTTCAGATGCGGCTGGCTGGAGCGAGGCCTCCGAGGCCAATGCGGACTCTCCCACAGCTGGTCCCTCACGATGCTCGGCCTCCTCCTCATCCTGCTCCTGGTCTGGGCCATCCTCTACGCACTCCTCCGGGTCGAAGTGGCTCCCGGGGGCGACCTCTTCAAGCTGATCGTCCTCATCCTGGTGGCCTACGTTTCGGGCGGTGTGGTGGCCAGGTTGCGGCTGCCCCCGCTGCTGGGCATGCTCATCGCCGGTATTGTGCTCAGGACCTGCGGCTTCTTCAAGGTCCAAGGGGTCTACCTCGACATCATCATCAAGTTAAGGTAGGAGGATTTTATTTTATTTAATTTTTTAGCAACATTTTCTGTTCAAGCATTTTCTAGGAACCTCCTGATTATCTTCATAACGACCACATTTGTCCAAACGATAATTTTCTATAGCTCTTTTTACTTTCTCGTCTGCAGAATAAAACGCATTTTTCTCTAGACTGTATCGCTTAAATGTTAAAACCGTTTGATGAAACAAAACAAAACAAAAAATCATCGGAATCGAACTAGTATTACCGATGATACAGCGTATTTTATTTTCTGCACATGTTTTAATTTATTACTTTCCTACCTATACTAGCCTTTGTACCAATATTTTTATTATTCTATTTTTTTTTTTTTTTTTTTTTTTTGAGGTTTCGAAATTCTCTACAAAACTATATAAAGATAGTTCATTTCATATAACTATTAACGAAGTTACAGCTATTCAATTTTGTATGTAAGAATACTGGTCTAAGCGGTGAAAGAGTTAAAAAAAAAGAAAAGTAAGTTTTTTTTTGTTTTTTTTTTTGTTTTTTTTCCTATGCCATAGTCATTGGTCATTCGACCATCCGACATCTTGCTGTCCAATATAATTTTGATTTTTGTAAGTAATCATTTACATTTGTTTATATCCGTCAAAGCAGGACATTCGTTTAGGTGGTCTGCATCCATTTCCGCTTGTTCACATAATTCACACCTAGGATCCTCAGCCACAACTATCTTGTGGAGATGACTCTGCAGATAGCCGTGACCAGTGGCCAGGCGGAAGCAGGCTACTGAATCTCTTCTTGGTAGGTCTGCTGGGATCGGGTTTTCAACCAAACATCCATAACGTCTCCCTTCCACCTTGTCTTTGTGCATATTTTTTGTTTCCTCCTTCACTGCCATCCTCACCATTCGCCGAATTAAATCCTAGGATTTTGGATGGACTGTTTGTGGCAATTCTGCTCCCCTCCTGGCGAGACTATCTACTTCCTCATTTCCTGGAATACCGCAATGGCTCGGAATCCACTGAAGGAGCACATTTGTGCCTCGGAGTGTTAGATCGTAGAGAAGGAATTTTCACTCCAAGATAGCACTCGACATACATTTATTCACGTCAGTAATCCCGAGGATTGCTGCTTGCGAGTCGAAAAAGAGAACAGCGTTCTTCTAAACTTGCCTTCCTGATAGTGTTCTTAGGGCTATGAGGATCGCTGCTATCTCACCGTAAAGAAAAGTAAGTGAAAGTAAGAAGATCTGTTGTCCGCATCACACAAGTTTCCTCTCCGCTTTTAAAAGAAGTTATTTTTTGACAAAATTGGACTAAGGAACTACAGTATAAAGCAACACAGGTTTTTCGGCTGCCATCTTGAATGGAAATAGCGGATGGTAATGTCGAAGTAGGAGGATCATCCTCGGGTGACCTCTGACGGACAAAAAAAAAAAGTATTCGATTTTCGAATTCTGTGTATCGTGAAACCTCAAATTTTGATAGGGGAGGGGGTTTATAATTTTTTTAATTTTTTTTTGGACTGTTACACTGATACATTATTGAAAATAATAAACCTAAAACAAATATTAACTATTGTTTTGAACGTTTAGACAAAAATGTCACAATATTTATATACTATGGAGAATTCAGACACCAGTTTGCACAAGTCAATAAAGATATTTTTTTTTTAATTAGCTGTAAAAATTAGAAATTTCTATTCGATTTTCTGTAGCAGAAAATTCTAGAAGAATTTCAATGTTATATTATTATTCTTGCCGTATTGTTGTTTTCACTTCTATCGTTTAGGTTTCAAGTACACATCGTAGTTTTTTAATTGGAAAATTCCTTTGGTGCGTTTTTCACTTTTATATACGGCTATAGTAGACTAATTAAAATGTTTATACATATTAAAATATCTCAAAAACATTCGGATTTGCATGTTGTAAGAGAAATATTGATCAGTTCATTTTCTGTCTTTGTAATTAGCTATTATTCAAAATTGGATATTAAAGCGACGCGGCGTTAGAGAGGCGATAAGGAAAAATGTTTTCTAAACCAAATTATAACCAATTTTATTGAAAACGTGGATTAAATTATCTCAGAAACTTAAAATTGTTCCTGCATACTGTAAGCGAGAGAAATGTTAATTATTTCAGCATCTTTGTAATGAGCTATAAATTAAAATTGTATTTTGAAGTGACGCCGAGTTACAGAGTAGAAAATGTAAAACGATAGCTCCAAAAAATTAAATAAAAACGACTGTATTGAACATTTGGACTAAAACATCTCAAAATTTTAAACCATGGAGAATTCCGAAACTGATTTATGGTTTCGAGTTTTATTGAAGGTATGGATTAAAATATCTCAGAAACTAAAAATCGGACCTGCATACTGTAAAAAAGGGAAATGTTCAGTATTTAATCCTGTTTGTAATGTTTTGATTCATATTTCGTATTATTAATCTCACCCAGTTGATGTTTTCACTTCTTTCATTTTGTCTAAAGAACATATACCTTAGTTTTTTTCTCTTTTTGGTTTATTATTTTCAATAATGAACCATTGTGTTCGAACAGAAAATTCAAAAACTTAATTCCTCCCAGAATTTGAGGTTTTACGTTTCAGGATACGTAGAATTCGAAAAACGAAAACAAATTTAAACGTTTATTTAAAAGTTTACGGAATTAAAAAAAAAAAGTTAAAATCGGGCATTTAGGAGCAAAGATATGGTCTCTAGATGTTTTTTATATGTTCTACTGCAAAGGTTATATCCTTTGTTTTGGTTTTTAATTTTTGTGTGTGTTACTGAAGTAATGCTAATTTGTTTTAGCATATTACTAATGATTAAAAAAATAATGTTTAGTCCAATAATTGGAATCACATTTTATTTCTTTTTCATTGTCACTAGGAAGGTAATGTTACTTTAGATGTATATTTTTTGGGGGGAAATTATAAAGCATTGTAAAATAATTTGCTGCGTTTTTTTTCGCCTCTTTAACACGGCCTACTATTAAGATACTATTTGCAATAACAGCCCATTACAGAGAGGATGAAATGGTTGAAAAATATTTTTCATTGATAGTCTTCATTTACAAAAATATATTTGAAAATTGACTTATATCAAAAATGCACTTACATGAGGAATTAACAGACAACTTTTTTTTTATGATACTAGATCGAAAAATATTAGATCCATGACTGAGGGTTGATAACATCCATGGACCCTAGGATTGGTAACAATATTCTATGTAATTTGAAACACAAATCATCATTTTGCCTATTCGCTATCGAAGGTATTGAAGCTGCAGGAAATCAAACAAAATTTTATGCCCAGAATCGAAAATCTCCACTCATGATTTATTTTCCGAACCATATGGAACAGATTTGGTTCCATGCCTGTCTGTTGTCAAATCCATGTATATTAGTTCTTCTATTTATCTGAAATTTTCAGGGATTGTGCAGATTGGTGCCAATTTAGTTATGCATTCTATCTATTAAATTGTCTGGGTTTAGATCAATAATATTTAAATCATCTTTAAACTAAAGTAAAAAAAAATCCAAATAAACTGAATAGAGTATTGCCTTATTTTTTTAAGTAGCCTTTTTATATATCGCTATTGTCAGTACAAAAGTTCGTAAGGAAAAGTTGAGTTTTTTAGATATTATAAAAACTTATTATTCCTTATTCTTTATTAGTATAATTTAATATTATATTTCCCTCTGCTATTTTACTATTCAGCAGACTACTTTTATAGCAGTTGCAGACAATACTTTTAGCGCAAAGAAAATAAACATGTAAAATATTTACATACGACCTTTTAGAAATATGTATAATTATTTTTCAAATATGACACTCTTTTTTACTTTGCTACCTATACTAGGTAAGGAAAGTATTGCAATCGGGTCAAATTTTACGATATGCAGCTTTCGACGGATCTGTACGTTTCAGATTCCCTTGAGTCCGAAAAACACATTTTTAGCCAATGGTCTGTCTGCCTGTCTGTGCCAAGATTTTCTCGGGAACTACTGAACCGATTTTGTTGCTTCTTTTTTTTATTTTATAGGATTTTAACTACTGATGGCTGTGAAATTCGGTACTCCATCCGTAACAGCTTGCGCGGAATAAATGAAAAAAAATGTTATTCTATAGACTGTATGGGGAAAACGGCTCTAACGATTTTGATGAAACTTTCCTATAATGTTCTAATAATTGTCCTTTCAATTTTTGTATATGGTGTAAATTCTTTTAAAAAATCGCTAAAAAAGTTATAAAGAATAGAAAAATGTTTCGTGACCTAACTCGTTAAGTATATCTTATATGATAATATTTATATTAAAACTTTTGAAAGGTAATTATATTACCAACAATACAAAAAAAATCGTCGGAATCGAACTAGTGTTAGCGATGGTACAATATTTTAATTTGTTTTACCTTTACCATTGGTTTTTCAGTTCTAAGTGAACCTCCTAGCTGAACACACCTTTAAGTCTATAATTTTATTCTTCCATTTTTATTTACTTATTTATCTAATTAGTTTCCTTTTTGCTTTTCTTTCTCCACATTCCTTTATGTCTAGTATTTCATATTATATCCTTTTTCCTTTTCATTCAATATCTCCAGTAGATTTGTAGAAGTATATTCACATTTTCATTTATTATATATTACACTACAAAAATTGTTAGCATTTATTTACTTCAGGTTAGGATCTTGTTACTCAGCTTACTTTGTTAATATTTTATTGTACTTACCGTTTATAATGTTAATAAGCTTATTCACATTGTTTATAAATTATATCTAAATATTATGTAACTGCCACAATTCTCTATCTTTTTGTATCTTGTCCGTTCTAGCCCTGAAGAAGAACTGCAAAGTCGGGTCGAAACGTCGGCTTTCAACAAAATAGTTTTACCACTATTTAGCCTATTTATGACCGCAACCTCGGTCCATCTGCTTCCATTTTAATTTATGACTTTTCTATCTATAGTTAGTTTTTTCAATTTCCAATGTATGATTACTTGTTCATATCCTGGTTTCAGAAACCGA